TGCTACTTTCTAGTAGAAGCGGCAACGCCACATTGTTTGAAATATTTTAGACGTGTAGATTATGCCAATTTATACATACCATAATATTTTCAGATTCATCAGTAGCTTGGTTTCCCAGAAACTTCTAATTAACGTTCATCGTGAAAAACCCTGTATACTATTTCGCGAAATGCACTAGATTCTTGCTTGAAACTGATACGAGCACTTTAAGTAGACCAACCGTGCGTGATGATATCTAACACAAGACTGACACGATTTACCACCTGACCCTGACTATCTCGTCCCGAATGACAGATTAGTTGCGTCACCTTTCTATCTTATCAATTCCCGAACAAGTATTCATCTATGACTAATAATAATAATAATAATAATATCTGAAATTAACGGGGAGATGGGATCATGGAATATACAGGGTGTTGCGAAATTCGACCGACAACGCTAGACAGATGATAGCCCTCGTGATTTCATAATCACTGAGATTGGGACATACGGTCTCTAAGTGCTCAGTTCTCGAGATACAGGGCGTTGAAGTTGAGAAATTGAAATAGTTTTTTCGCAATATCTCAAGAAAAAATTTCAGTATAATGCATTCAAATTCGGTATATGGTTTCATCTTTCAATGGTTCATTTTTTGACCAGGAAGTCATTCCGAGAATTTTATCCATAGGTGCGCTACAGGGGGTTGTTATAACTTTTCCTCCCATATTTTCTACGCCACTGACGAAATTTCGATTATTTCCATTTTCTCGAATTGATTGTTCAATTTTGTTGAAAAAATGCATTACCTTCAAATGAAATAAAATGAACAGTTGTCGAGATATTCGACCCAAAATAGAAATTTGCATAGTAATTTTTCATCTTCCTCAGTAGAAGAAAATTACAAAAATGTTTGTTTTCTCTTTATACATGGAATAACTATTTCTATTCAGCTACAGGATGAGATCTGAATAGTATCTAATCTACTCAAACCGGAAATATATTTTTGCAATTTTCTACTACAGAGAACGATGAAATATTACTATGTAATCTTCTATTTCGGGTCGAATATCTCGAAAACTGTTCATTTCAGCTCAGTTGGAGGTGATACATTTTTTGAACAAAATTGAACAACAAATTCGAGGAATTGGAAATAATCGAAATTTAATCAGTGACGTAAAAAATATGGGAGTTAAAGTTACCACAACCCCCTGTAGAGCACCACTGAATAAAATGTCCGGAATGGCCCATTCAAAGATGAAACCATTTACAGAATTTGAATGCATTATATTCAATTATTCTTGAGATATTGCGAAACAACTATTTTTATTTCTTAACTTCAATGTCCCTATCTCAGTGATTGTGAAATCACAAGGGCTATCACCTGTCAAGCGTTGTCGATCGAATTTCGCAACACCCTGTATACTAATGATATATATTCTGATGAATTCTAGTTTTTTTCGTCTCAACTTATCTCTGAAATATTGAAAATTTCACAAATCACATTTTAGACCAATCAAAAAAGTCTGTATTTCGTATCGTTATCATAGACATTTGAAACGATCATCTCAACTTTAATATTGTGAACTTTTGGTCAACTTTCTGATTTCTGATGAATTCTAGTTTTTTTGTCTCAACTTATATTTCTGAATTATCAGAGTCTGTCTTTCGTATCGTTATCATAGTAACTAAACAAACTTCCAGAAATCTTTTCCTCTTTGGGGGGAAGGAGCATACAATTACACTGGAAGATTCCTCAGGAATGTACCGGGTGAACATCAACTAAGAACGGCTGTCATATCTATCATTCTTCCTCGCATTCTTCCAACTTTGATAGTTTAATATCTTCCGTTGGCGAAAAGCTATCAAGTTGTGGTTTTTGTTGGTCTGTTGAGATTTAGGTTCTCTATTACATCGTATAATGGTATGTATACCATAAGATTTGTTCTATCTCAAACTTGTATCATTATTCGTTGCTGAGATATGGCCGACAGCCGTCCTCAGTTGTTCACCCGGTATAATTGGACTAAAAATTAATTCTAGCACTTCACGAAAGCTCTGTAAAACGCGTACTTATTCGGTCTTGTGAAAATACTAAAATTCTCATTATGGATTGCTAAATTCATGTTAGTTCCTTGAAATAAGAAATCGATTTATTTTCTCGCAAAGTGCCTATCACGTGTTAGGAAAGATTAAAAACTCACCAGTATGGAATCTGCATATAGTCCATATATAACTCCCCAAAACACTTCACAAAACACCGACACAACACAGAATAACGCGATGTAATCACTATACCGAACGATATATTTGAAAGACACAGTTTTATCACTCTTTTTAATAAACACAATTGTAGAATTAAAACAGTTTTTTTCTAGGCTATATATAACCCAAAATTGCTATTATTTCACGAAATCTCATCTCCTATAAAATGCGTTAATTAGTCGGTTCTGGCGAACCAAGCAACAGATGAATCTGAAAATTTGATGGTTAGTATAACTTGACAAGATCTACACATCTGAAATATTTTGAACGATGCAACGTTACCGATTCTACTAGAAAATAGCAGCAAGTTTGATTTTTTCAAATGGAACGCCCTGTTTTTCATTGCACATTTGGATTCTGAAGAGCTGATTTCATAAATATATCACACTTGGAGTCTAGCATGAAGGATGACACAGATATAGGGTGTTCAAAATCTACGTTATTCAAGTAAAGGATTTTTTTGTGTCGAAACTATTCATTATTTGTCGAAAAGGCTTACATGGTTAATTTACTATTCACTTACATTCAATTGTTACAAATACAGGGTTCAGAATTATGAATCCACTCTGTATTTGTTTCAATTAAATGTCGGTAGATAGTAGATCAAAAGTTGAGATAGGGACATGAAAGCCGTTTTGACCAATAATGAGTGTCGACAAAAAAAATCCTAAAGTAGAAAAGTCTCGATTTTGAGCACCCCATATCTCTGAAATCATTCTCACTAGACCCCAAGTGTGATGCATTGATGAAATCATCTCTTCAGATAAAATCTGAATATGCAATGAAATACATGGTGTTTCATTTGGAAAGTCATAGTTGCTGCTACTTTCTAGTAGAAGTGGCAACGACGCTTCGTTCAAAATATTATAGACGTGTAGGTCATGTAATTTCATACATACCATCAAATTTTCAGATTCTTCTATTGCTTGGTTTTCCAGAAACGTCTAATTAAAGCTAACTGTGAAAAACCATGTAAACTATTTAGCGATATGCACTAGTGACTAGATTCTTGCTTGAAACTGATACGAGCACTTTTAAGTAGACCGAACGCGATGAAATCTAACATAAGACTGACACGATTCATCACCTCGTTCCGAATGACTAATTAGTTGCGTCACCTTTCGATCCTACCAATTTCCGAAACAAGTATTTATCTATGACTAATAATAATAATTATGATACCTGATTCACACAGGGTGGGATGGAACATGGAATATACTTCAGATATACAGGGTCATTTGAAACGATAATCTCAACACAAATGCGGATTTTAGGTCAACTTTCTGATTCCTGATGAAATACAGTTTTTTTTCGTATCAACTCTGAATTTTTATTGAAAATCACATTTGAGGAATACTTAGGTGTATATTATGAAATTACATTTGATACATCACACATGTTCCTTGCCGGTTCAATTTCAACTGATTGAGTTACCATTTTTCATTCGTATAAATTGGTGAAATAAATTTCAAAATTGAATTGAATGTACCTAACTAACACGGTGTTATATTATTCAAAGGAAATCAATGTAAAAATAATAATAAATACTCTCGTCTAACCCCTTGATAAAAAGAAAATCTTGAATATAGATAACCATGTTGAGAATAAGAGTATAAAAATAAAGTATAAATTGCTCTAAAAAAAGAAATTAAGGATAAAAAAATTATCCTAATTCCCAACAACATATAATCTCCAGAAGTTCAAAAAAAATTCCAATACCTACCTCCTATCCCTATCCTCCCTAGAAACGCACGATGTTCTCTAAACATTATAGGGATTCCCTTTCGTGCGCTCCAAGCGATAACAAAAAAATCTAACCAATCTATTAATTAGTATACCTCTGCTTATATCCCCTTCCTATAAGCTTTGATAATAATGAATTCATCCCTATTAACAAAAATAGGGGCAGGGCGAATTCTCTACTTCAGAAGATTTTGTTCTCAAATTCTTATCGTGTGTGTTCAATAGATGTAATTAGTTGTTTTCTGTGCTGTGGCTGAAAGGTATGTTGATCAATCTCTACAAACGAAAACTGACACTGCTTCAAAAATCAATAATGAATCAAATAAGTCTTCCTCTTCCAACGTTGATATAGTGAGAGTGAGGGATAATAATATAACTCTGGAAAACAATATTGTATCAAACAATACATATGCTACAACTACACACTATACTAACACAGGAAAAGAGATTTCTAATCCTTCATTTACTTCCAACAACTGCACTGTTACAATAAATAACCATTATGAATGTTAATTTCGTATTTTTATATGATGTGTTTTCTGCTATTAATAAGGTTTGTTTAGATATGATAAACGGCTGCATTTCATTTCGAATTGAGGAAAATGTCTCGTTATGCAATGTATCAATGAACAAACACAAGAATTGTGATTTGTTACTTTTCATGCAGCTGGCTTACGGGAGAAGAACTGTGCGTTTTACAACTTTTGTTATGTAATATATATATACGTTCATTACGTTCCATTCGACTTCGCGGTTACGTAATAGATATTTACGATACGAGTATCGTAAAGACTCATATTACGATATGAGATCGATTATCGTAAAATGAGTTTATTTCACCTACTACCAAAAAGCTAATTATTTAATCAAAAGTATTCCTTGACAGGCCCCTCTTCCCCACTGGGCACACTGGGCACGTGCCCAGGGCCCCGCGAGGATTGGGGCCCCCTAGTCCCGATAGCTACTCTACTCTCGCCTGAAAATCAGGCTTACCGAATGCAGTATGTTTAATAAATTTCAATATAATTTTTCATTTCAATTGCCTTTTCGCAATAATAATTTACTTGAAAATAAGTGAAAAATTTTTTTTAAGTTTGGTTCATTTTTTCACTTGAAAACTCTGAATTCCGAAGAGTTGAGACAAAGTTGCAAAGAATTTGCTGAAATCTACTATGAAGACGTAAACGAGAAAGAGTTAGAAATGGAATGTCTGGATTTAACAGAATACTTGATAATTGATCAGAGTAAAAAGTGAAAATGGAAAAACTGATAGTATATTGGATAGTATACTGGAGATATATCACCTTTTGAAAGAGACCAAAAATTTAAGACACCTTTCCCAATCTATAAATCGCACTGAGAATCTTTCTAAACATGATGGTAACTAACTGCAGTGCAAGAAGTGAAATCGAGTACAATGCTTCAAGAGAGATTGAATAGTTTGTCGCTAATGTCGATAGGATGTGATATGCTCGAAAATAAAGATTTTGAAAATGTTATTAACGATTTTACTCAACTAAAATCTAGAAGGGTACATCTTCAATCAGCATAGATACTTATATATATAAGAATTATAAGGACTAATCGTGGATGCTGGTTACTTAGTGTGGATTACATGATATAATCTATTCATCATATCTAATGTAACTGTAAAGAAATAAAAATAATGCTGAAACTTTGCATTTCACGTTATTTGTCTATTCTACCAAGATAGTACTTTATTATGGTCATAGGGGCGCCATTATTCTAATGTGCCCAGGGCCTCGAAAAGGTGAAAGACGGTTCTGTTCCTTGAACTAACATTAGGAATATGTAACAAGCAAGCGTTGCAAGGATTGGGCGTATGGTTGTCGTGAATCTATTGTGTTTTCGGTTGTCACTCATTCGGCGAACGGTCAACTTCGACGCGGTAATTTCAATTCGAAAAAAAAATCATCGGCATGAATTCGGATCAGGAAAGTTTAGATTCCGATATAGAATTGGGCTTATATCACAAAAAAAATTTATTTCATAATTCGATAGAACTCACCCAAAATAGCTCACCACCGCAAACCGTTTCTTGTTGTGAGCTCCCTACGTTTTATAAAAAAATATTGAAATCCCCGATTTTTTGGACCTCTGAAAACGAGGCGATGATGTGACGTCAAAACCCTAATACTGAAACAACACTATTCCAGACAGAGATGAATGATACATGATTTCTGACAGAGTGAATTAGCGCGAGATCACAGTAGAAAGAATTAATATATCAGTTGCCTCAGTCTCCGTCGGGCGTTTGGTATTTTCTTTCAACTATGGCAAGATGAGGTTTCTACGTCATAAGAGGGTCCGTTTTCAGAAGGTACTATTATTCATGTCCAAAAATAAAACATTCCAGTTAATTTTTCGATCGAATTATGTCGTCAATCATTATATATGTATAGAAAGGATCATTATAAACATGGTTTGAGTTGAAAGTTCTACTAAGGCAGAGATTATACACACTAATCTCTGACTAAGGTGTACACGCCCATTGCGGCGAATGCAGCAATCGAAACTTTAGTACCTGCTATATTCATGATAAATTAGTTCTTATTTCTTTTTTTTTTTGAGTAAAAATGAAATTTGAAAATATATATTTTTCACTTCACCGCACTAGTGCGGTAAAGTATCTCATTACGATACTAAAATCAGTGTCGTAATGTTTCACATTACATATTGGTAATAGGTAAATTACTTTATGTACTAGCGGGCCGTAAAGTGCACTTTACCGCCCGCTGTTCTTAGTTTCTTGATATCCACATATCGATTCATGAGAAACATAATATGATCATTTTTCTAGATTCTAATATATTCAGCGGTATATCATAAACTTCTTCTTCATCCGACTCCATAGTCTGGCTATTAGTATTATATCACTAATTTTTAGTTTTCAGTCAAAGAATGACAATTCAGCTTGTTTATTGGATGTATTGCTATAGAGTATAGACAACAACATTTCAGCTTGCTTGACAACGTCAAAATTAAGTAGGTATATATATACTGGGTATGCATATTGTGAAATTCTGAAGAATGAATCTCTTCTATAGAGACCAAAGAGTTTTACTATTATGATAATTGCAATATCCGTAAGATAATTTTTATATGTAAATAATCCATGAACATTACGCTTCTCTTGATTACTGAGTTTATAGGTAACAAATTAAATTCGAGGGAATATTAGTTATAGTCATATAGTTATAGTCATTACTTTTGAGTCAGAAAATAAACCAGTAGTGCATAGAATTTTGTATGTATCACGTGCGTGAAATGCGTTTATGGCCTTCAGCGCCACAGGCCATAAACGCCTACTTTACGCCCTTGATACATAAAATAACTAAAACAACCCCTGAATTCGCAATTTTTCAAAATCGAATCACCGAATTAGACTGACAGATATTTGATTACTTGATAAAGATACCTGCAACGCAGGTGTCATTCCTGTTTACAAACTTCATAATATTACTAACCACCAGGGCCTATACATCCCATGCACAGGCCGCATCACGAATAGAGCATCGTTCCAGCGTTCTGTCTACTTGCTTTCAGCTTTCAGTGAGCCTGAAATCGCTGAAGTGGGAGTATCGGACGCAGTGCGTCGCGACGCTGATTTCATACAATGTTCTGTGAGTAATTTACATGCAAAATAATACCTACCAAGCAAACACGCACATTGAAAGAATGAATACTTTGGAATTTGTGGAAAGTATATGTGAAAACTTTAGATATAGGTATCTAGCTATATTCTTCTGAGAAATCTCGCAATAATCACAATATTGTGTTGGAAAACCTGCACTACATGCTGCAGTGTTATCATGAATCGATTTGTGACATATTTTGTGTGCTCGGATTGACTTTTTCATCGCCTTGCCGTTAATTTGAGTGTGTTTCTGATACAATGCCTGATGAGTGCTTGCGGTGAATTTCCCTTTCTTTATGGCCCTTCATTTTCATAGTGGAGAGCATATCGATCGCTTTCGGATGCTGTGACCTTGGACTTAGTTATCTCCTTTGTAACTTCGGATCTGTCAAATCCCAATTTGTAATGATTTCCTTGTTTCATGTTACTTAGGATCATTTGAATTCTTACTGATTTTTTGAATTTGTGATAAAGCAAAATTGAAATAATGAAAAAAGTGAAAGTAGAATAGGCGAGAATAGTTATTTATTATACAAGGGAAAAAAGTAGTAGATTTTAGCTCCAGGTTGTGTTGTCACCCGACGCGTAGCGGAGGAAGACAAAAAACCGTGAGCTAAAATCTAATATTTTTCCCGTGTATAAAACACTATTTTTTTCTGTGACAGAAGAAAGGACGAATCAATATTGAGAGGATATTACTTTATTTTGAAATCTGAAAATTATCGACGTGAAATTTTAACAGTAGGGGCACCTGCGTTGTAGGCATCTTTATCATTCTTTTGAAGTAACCAAATATCTGATGTCACTTCTGTCAGTCTAATTCTGTGATTTGATTTCAAAAAATTGCGAATTTAGTGGTTGTTTAGTAATATACGTAACCGCGAAGTCGAATGGAAGATGAAAGGACTCTTGCAGTTCTTTCTCCGAGACGGTATTATTGACTCATTTTTCGGAACTATAGCACAACAAAAGCCATCAACAGTGTAAATATATGTGATATATATCCGGGAAAAAAGTACTCACTTTTTTCCCACGGGAAAAAAGTAATTTATGAAAAGTGACATTTTATAACCTGCCAACAGAGATGAAATGCCAAACTTTTTTCCCGTCACAGAAAAAATATTTTTTTTGTATATTTGGTCGATTTTTAGGTGCTGAAATCATTAATAATAGATATTTACCGCGAGTAAATACTGTAGTAGTAAGTATCGGCAGACCATAGCTTAGTTGCCATGTCTTGAATTACGATTGGGAACTTCAGAAATAATAGTTTTTCAAACATTCATAAATTCTCATGCAATTATGAATTCACAGTCAATTATGTATTTGTGTAAATAGTAATTATATTAATTCACACTTGAAGCGGTGAACGTGACAACACGGCGCACGACTTGTGGGCGTGGTCTTGTCGGTTCTCAGCATTCAGCACAATGTTGCCAAATCTCCAACATTCACATGATATTTTGTTATGGAGAATAAGATATATTTGGACATGCTGGTTGCTCGAGTCAAGAAAAGTCAAGATGTCGGAAGTAGAGGCAACATTGATATTTCAAATGGAACACCCTGTATTTTATGACATTATTAGATTTTCCCTGAGCTGATTTCATCGATATATTATTATCACACTTGGGGTCTATAAAAAATGATCAGAATTCTGAATCTTGAACCATCCTGTCTCTGTTCCGATTAAATATCAGTAAATAGTAAATCAAAAGTTGAGATAGGGCCATGTGAGCCGTTTTGACCGATAATGAATAGTTTCGACACAAACAAATCCTAAAGTTGAAAAATCTCGATTTTGAACACCCTCTATATCTCTGTAATCATTTTCGATAGACCCCGAGTTTGATGTATCGATGAAATTTGCTCTTCAGGGAGAATCTAAGAATGCAATTAAATACAGGGTATTCTATTTGGAATAACAAAGTTGTTGCTACTTTTTGATAGAAGCGGCATCACTGCATTGCTGAAATTATTCTAATTGAAGAGAGCGTACTTATTCTAAAATATGAGCATGCATATTTTTATGGATTTCTCCCGACTGACATACCCTGTATGTATATAGTCATCTCCTTCTCTTCTCATCTCAACCTATTTTCTGTGAGAAAATCAAGGTGAACAATTGATATTGTATGAAGTTTTTTATTCATATTCAAATCAAGAATTAAGTTTCATTCAACTATTTTAGCAACAATTTCTCATATAATATAATTCCATATAGTGTTTTCAAATGGCACGATATTTTGGTGATTAATATCGAAATTGCTTGTTTGTATAATATCATTCAGTTTTACGCACTTCATGCATCATTGTATATAATTTTACATAATAAACCTGAAGTTTTTATATGCTTAGTTACTAGGAATGGGCAACCTAATTATAAAGCGTTAAAAATAACACCACTAAATAACGTTCCGAAAGCAATGTAATTCAGAAAATATAGTTCAGTTCACTGTTGGAGAAAGGAATATACCGGGTGTCCCAACAGTGCGTATTTGCTCGATATCTCGATAATGCTGTAATATCAAAAAAACATTTTTATATGAAAGTTTTATGGCATCACGAAGGCCACATTTTGAAAATAGTTTCCGATTCACAGGGTGTTGCATTTTTCCGTAATACCAAAAAATATGTATTTTACAAATAGAACAACCCGTTTATTTTTATGTCATTAAAATGGCTCCTTTGTTGCCTACTCAGCAATACATTTTTTTCCTCCGATAGGTTATTTCATGTAGAAAGAGAAGACGAAGTGATACACAGGGTGTTCCATTTGAAACAATTGCATAAACTTGAATCGAAGTGGACGAAACTGAAAGAACTTGTTGAAGCACCCTGTATGAATATCTATGAAGATCAGAATATTACACGCTACTTTGGTATTCTTTATTTCAATCCACTAGACAAAATTCAGATCTTCGGAGAAACAGCTTATTCACAGTTATCTCATTCAGAGCCTGCATCACTCTTTTTTTTTTTTCGAAAAAATCGATAACTTGGCAACGGCGCATTGTGGCGAAAAAAAAATTCAGTGCTGAGTAGGCAACAAAGGGACCATTTTAATGACATAAAAATAAACGGGTTGTTCTATTTGAAAAATACATATTTTTTGTTATTACGGAAGAATGCAACATCCAACATCCTGTGAATCAGAAACTATTTTTAAAATGTGGCCTTCGTGGTGCTATAAAACTTTTATATGAAATTTTTTTTTCAATATCACAGCATTATCGAGATATCGAGCAAATACGCACTGTTGGGACACCCGGTACAAGGTATATTGGATTTTAAGTGATATAGACTCGCAAAATTTGATGATTTTTCTCAATGAGTATACCTCTCAACAATGCATAATAAATTCTATACCTATAGCTTCGAATTTAGATTTGAAAAAAACCTAACCCTTTTCTAATTCTATAGCAGCTTGGCGAATTTGGAGATGTCCCTTGGATAAAATTATTTTTCATCGAATTTTATCGCCCTGTGACTGAGAGAGTAATGCTGCTATTTTGGAGATATGTCTCTTATCACCTCTTAAAATTACTGTACCACCCTGTATAGTGTATAGATACTGCCACCTATTGGGTGATGAATCACAGAACGTATAAAATCCCAAATATAACCTAATAGCCTTATCAAGAATATTACGCTTAATACTTACCCAGAACAAGCAAGAAAAATTAGCGATTATCTATTCCATTTCTGAACTATATCCAAAATAATTATTTATTATTATAAACCTAAATAACGTGGGAATAAAAATCTGAACTTGAAATGGAATTGTTTTGAAATGGTGCAAATAGAAAGTTTATGAGTCAAATGAAATTTATATTCCTTCTGGAGTTTTGAGGTTATTGCAATTCACCATATAATTTCAAAAGTTTCAAGCGAATGATACATTTTCGATATTGTACATTCCCCCACCACTTTATTTCACCTAGTATATGTATATTCATCACATTATTGAATTATGGAGACGACAAGAATTTTAGATAAAAAATTGCTCATTTTTTGTGCATCTAGAATGATGAGTCAGATGTTTACAGGCAGTATTTTCTTTTTGCATTGTTGCTGTTGTTCTTAATACTCTGCTAAAACTATGACGTGTATGTACAAAGAATAAGTTGTCACCTTTGGTTCATATAGGAATTAAAGGGTACCTTTATTCCTTATTTCAGGGGAAAAAGTGGTACTTTGAATTTACTTCAAATCCCTAGGGTTTAAAGTTGATTTCTTTGCAATAAAAGCTAAATTTAAATATGTCAACGTCTTTCAATCGTTCTGGCATGTTTGATTAGTATTTATTTATTTATGTTTTACTCAGTTACTTGTCATAACACACCAAGATTTTCAGTAGCCGATGACAATCATGATCTGGATCACCATAGTTACTGATGTCGTTGATACGATAACAATCAGCCCCCTCGATGATGTTTTAGAAAAAGAGTGACTACCGTTTAGGAGCATTCAATTTTTTTTCGTTATTTTTTCTTTAACGTTTTACCTACTCTGAAGTTCATAAAATAGTATAAACACTTCGGGACTAGAGTGTTTTTAAATCCCTCGATAAATTATAGCCCTTTGTCTAGGGATTTAAAATACCACTTTATTCCCTAAGGGTATAATGCACTATAAGATCAGTTTCTGATCAGATTTCACCTAGGTACAAGTTAACTTCAGAAATTTCTGTACATTGCAGCACGTCTTGGTTATTCATTCTGATTCAAAATTGAAATCTTATTCCTTTTTTCCTTCTGTTTTTATAGGACGAAAGGTCCATCGGAAGGAACCAATCCAATATCAAAATATGGCTGTCGAAATTTTAGACGTGGATCATTTCGCAATTAGTGCAATAGTAACTGTCAGCATGCAAATCATATTTTTCGTGGTAGCTGCCACATTCCAAATGGACAAAGTATCCGATTTTGCTGGAGGGATAAATTTTATGATTTTGGCACTACTCACCTTCCTGCTGGGACAAGCAGGAGAAAGGGTGAGTGAGTTATGTTTACTCAAAACTTTCACCTACAAGTGCTTATTTGAAAATGTTCATTCTAGATATTGAATATCTCAATTTTGTTCTTTTCCAGAAAAGTTATGACAGTAGGCAGCTCATGGTGACAGTTTTCGTTTGTTTATGGGGCATGAGACTTTCTGGTTACCTCTTGTATAGGATTATCAAAATTGGAAGGGATAAACAATTTGATGACAAGAGGAGTAACAATATTAGATTTGCTATTTTTTGGACATTTCAGGTGAGTCACTAGATGAATTAATAATTATTCGAGATCATATCATATAGGTAACTTAAGAAATCTCGACATAATAATACGAAATATAATGATCAGGGATTGAAATAAATATGAATAAGTTTTGAAAAGGAATATTTTCAGACAAAATTATGAACATGAAAAAATGGATATATACAAGGGGTGTTTGAAATAAGTGCACATATTCAGCACATTATATTTTGGTAAAAATATGAGTATCTATCATTTCAATATACGGTAGTACATATCTAAGGACAAATCAGATGATATGATTATTCAATACTCTGTTACTCTCTTACATAGAGCTGGGAGGCCTATTCTGAGTTTTTTCGAAAATATTTCGGAAATCTTATTTATATCTAGTTCTGAGTATGTACATCATGCTGTCTATATTTTTGAACCCCTAGATAAACAAATGCGCATTGCAAAATAGAAAAAAAATCAGTTTTTTTAAATGGAACACCCTGTATATTTTCAACTTTTGTGAATCATCTTTTTGTTCTGTTCATAAATGTATATAGTTTATTTAATGATCCGTTCAGCCGTCTTCGACAAAAATTTTCTGCACTACTGAAATGTTTGCAATATTTCTCATAATATAATCTTACTATCTCGTATTTTTCCTCTACCGATAGAATAACCCATTTTTATCGACAAACTGACAGAGATGTCAAAAAATGACTATTCTGTTTCCATGGTATTTCTGTCGTGTCCACAGCCATCTAAATGTTATTGGCAACTTTGATTTTTTCGACTTCAAGCTTTGAATTCTCTACGTATCAGTCGGAAAGTTTGAGTTTGTAGTTGTAAGTTCCTACAGTTTGAACTGGAAATGTAATTTTCCTTCATGTTTGAAGTTGGAAATTTCGACTACAAAATCGAAATTTTATGTTTCTGAAGTTGGAAATTCCTATAGTTTGATGTAGGAAATCTGTAGTTTTTATTCATTTATTTCATTTTTTTTTCATATTTATCATGAAACAATTTATTATTTTTGTGGAATTTTCCCAAACTCAATTTGCCAACTCGCCTTGTACTGGGCCGGGGAAACAGACCCCGTCCCCACACCCCCCCTTGGGCCCGATCCTGCCCTTGTTCCGTTTCAATTCCATTTATTCAATAAAAACATTTTCACAATACAAGGTGTATAAACAAAAATCTTCTAAAGGGGACATTGGACATGATAAAAATGTAAAACATACAATGTAGAACAATGTAGATACGCCACAGAATTACCCTCCAAGGGAGCTCTCAGAGGCAGCCGATGCAGGCCTTGCCGATGATTTTTGTCTAACAACCCTGATGGCAGTCATGAGGGAGCTGACTCCTAGGAGTAAACCTTTAATCCAGCTCATGTCAGTGAGTTGCCCAGGGCAAAAAAGATTGATCGTCAATTGCTACCTTTTTCTCTCTAATTCAACATTTTTTGTGTTGGAATATAAAAATAAAGAACCAACTTTTGAAATTTCTCTGTGAAAGACACTATGAGGGATGAGGGGTGGGATAGGTGTGGGAGAGTGATTGGGATCTAATGATTGGGATCTGATAGACTGATTTCGTATCGGCAAATATACTAGTTTTGTTAGCCGATAGGCGTGCTACCTCTGAGTCCTGCTCCATGGTAATGCTCCGATAGTCGTTCAGCCGGGCCACACAGCGTTTAGACTATACGGCCCGGCCAAACGACTACCGATCTCGTTCAATTCAGCTTCTCAGCTGTTTGTTGTCTAGAGTCAGTCTATTAGAGATGAGGGTGGGGGAGTTATTCAGGGGGTTCCCTGAATACATGGCTGGCCTCATGAATCAGCCCATGAGCCCATGTTTCCTACGGATGTCATGTCATGATCTGCCCTTATTCTCGTTATATCTCTTGTGAGTTCGCTATTCTGGATGTGATGTTTATAAAATTTATTTGAAACGTTAATGGTGTAATCTTTAATCAAGGGTAGATCATGACATTGAGCATGCATGTCAGCCACTCGAGTGTATCTATTACCGTTAGTAATGATTCGGAGTACCTTGTTCTGTAGCACCTGTAGCCTTTTCAGTTGAGTGGCGGAGGCGCTACAGTACACCGGACAAGCGTATGTAATCACAGGTCGTATCACTTTCTTGTATAAGAGCAGTTTGTTTTCCATTGTTAGTCCTGAATTCCTCACCAACAATGGATACAATTGTCTTATGGCTGCATGGCCTTCACCAATTAATTTTGTGATGTTCTCTCTGAAGCACATACGCTTGTCCAGCACTAATCCCAGCTATTTCACTGACGTGTTGACCGTCACCCTTGCGTCTTTGGTCTTTGACAAGCAAAGGCCCGTGTGAAGTACTGTGGGTATATTTTTTAGTGAAATTCATCAAATCAGTCTTCTCATGATTGACACGGATCTTTGCATTGTCAAAATACGGTATGATTTTCCTGTCCAGATGGATTGCCCTTGTTCCGTTAACGGCAACCCAGGCGATTTGGAACTGAGTTAAATTAATAATAATCTCAATTGATTTTCGTAGGCTGTGTGGGTGTACGTAGTTAGTCTACCTGTGATAATAATAAACTCGCCAAGGCATTCGATTCCCCTAGCACCTAAAACGATGACAACGTTGGATTCCACAGGAACAGCATTTTTCGTTGTGGGACTATTGGCCGAGACTTACGCGGATTTACAGAAATTTTCGTTCAGGCAAGATCCGGACAACCAAGGAAAATGGTGTAATGATGGTGAATATCAAAATGCATGATTATACTTGCTCAATAACCAATCACTGTGTCATGAAAAGTAATATAGGTACATGTACGAATTTAGTTATCTGTACACAAAGCGTTTCGGAAATATTTATACAAAAAACCATAATATATCTCGGGCCCTCTTTCAGATAGCTATAACTCCCCAGGAGGTTGAAATCTAAGTAAGTCATTTCGTGAAATCCTGTATAAAGAATCTCTACACAGAAAGAATTTTTTTTTTATGATTTCATCACTATACAAGGTGATTCATACTATGAAGAGAAAAATTTCTATAAAATTGCCATAGAAGGCTTCGTTGCGAAGATACAAGGCGTTTAACTTGAGAATATTTTGAAAATAAATATTCTCAGATAGAATTATGAACATGAAAAAATGGATATATACAGGGTGTTTCAGACTTAAATGTGAATACGATACCTGTAGATAGAGGACACTTTGGTGGTTCCAAATCGCCCCCCATCGATATGTCTACCGTCTTTTATAACTGAGATACAGGACGTTATCTTGATTTTGGCAAAATCTTCATCTGGTTGTAACTTTTGAACCACTTTGTATAATTTATTCATACTTGGTTGAAATATTCCACTTATATTACCCATCAAAACAAAATAAAAATTCGAATCAGAATCCAGGTCCGTCTTGAGGAAAAAAAGAAAACTTCTTTTATCTCAAAAACAACACCCTGTATGGCAAAACTTTGTAGGTCTGTTTTGATATTTGGAAAGAGCGGAAAAAAATTAAATAAGTGACCTACTTTTTACGAGTGCGCATCTAATTTGACAGATGGTTTATTATCATGTTTTGAAATATTCAGCTCCATTTCGAGGCATTTTTATTGAACTTGATTCAAAACTCAATTGTAATACAAAAAAATAACAGTCTTCAAAGTTCAACATCATCAGACTCAAATTAGGTGAACTATCGATAGATTTGTTGTGACAGAATCACTTGTCTATGGTGTCATACATTTTTGAGGGCTCATTTTATTTTCCACTATTAATTCACGAGCTGCAGTTAAGTAGTGCTTGTATTGGGTTGTTACATTTCAAAGTGTTCATAATTGTGCCTACAATAACTTTACTAATAATATCGCAACTATAATGATTATGAACTGTCAGAATTTTAATTTTTTCTTCACAGCCTACTTTACCGCAGCTTATAAATAAAAAGTAAAGTATAAAATGAGTCCTCGAAAATTTTTAAAATCATCGACAAATTATTCTGTCAAACAAACAAATTTATCGATAGTTCACCTAATTTGACTCTAATGATGTTGAACTTTGGAGACTGTTACTTTTTTAAATTAAAAATTGGGTTTTGAATCATGTGTTCAATAAAAATGCCTCGAAATGGAGCTGAATATTTCAAAACATGATGATAAACCCATTTTTCAAATTGGATGCGCACTCGTAAAAAGTAGGTCACTTCATTCATTTCTCTCCGCTCATTCCAGATCCAGATTTTATTTTGGTCTTGATGTGTAACTTAAGTGAAATATTTCTACCAAGTATGGATAGATTATACAAAGTGGTTCCGAAGTTATAACCAGATGAAGATTTGGCCCATATCAAGATAACGTCCTGTATCTCAGTTATCAAAGACGGTGGTAGACATATCTATGGGAGGTGATTTGAAACCACCGAAGTGTCCTCTATCTACAGGTATCGTATGTACATTTAAGTCTGAAACACCCTGTATACAGTGTGACCCACTTCTAATGGAAACACCCCTGTATCTTACGTAATCGTTGGGTAAGGATCATGAAATTTCTGGAGCAAGAAATATACCAAAAATGCACTCTATGACCAAGTGGGGTCATCTTCAGTGATATACTACTGCTTGCCAACAGCCATGGACCCACCCCAATTTCCGGAAAATGATATTAGGAGTCAAACTAGGTCGAAAATCACTTCGGATTCGGAATCAGGGTCCCCAATTCACTATAACAATTCATAGTTTTCCTAGAAAATTTTTAGTTCAGAAAAATTAAATTTTGTCTAAATTCTCATGGAAGCACCCCCGTATCTCACTCACGTATAATTATTGAGGTACGGTTCTGAAATTTGCAGGAGGAAGGGAAAGTCCAAAGGTAAAGCGAGAGATAAAGTTAATTATACGTAAGATACGGGGGTGCTTCCGTAAAAAGTGCAACAAAATTTAATTTTTCAGAACTGAAAATTTTCTAGGGAAAAATATGAATTGTCAGTGAATTGGGCGTCCTGATTCAGAATCTGATGATGTGATTTTCGACCTAATTTGACTCCTAATATCATTTTCAGGAAATTGGGGAGGTTCCATATGGCTGTTGGCGAGCAGTGTATAATACTGAAGATGACCTCATTTGGTCATGGAGTGCATTTTTGGTATATCTCTCGCCCCAGCAAATTTCAGGGTCCTTACCCAACGATTACATGAGATACAGGGGTGTATTTCCATTAGAAGTGGGCCACACTGAAGAAATACATTGAGAATTCGCATTCTCTATGTGATGACAATATCAATTCTTTCTCAGTTTATTCAACAGAAAACAACTATACTTCCCTGGCTATATGTCACGACGAACATTAATTGAATTATATCTACAGAACACACACGATGAGAATTTGAGAACAAAATCTTCTGAAGTTGAGAATTTACATTTTTCCTGCAGATAAAAATATGTACATGCACAAAATATCATTCTGAATATTCATCAGAAAACAACTACTTTCCTGTCTATTTGCCACGTCGAACATTGAATTATATATCTGTTGAACATCCAAAAGGAGATCATGAAAAATTAAAATCCTCTGAAATGGAGAATTGACAATCTCTCAAATCTGATATATAATTTGATGTATTGTGATTTAAAAATATAACTTACCAATATGTCCAGTATTGAAATGAAAATTGAAATGTATAGGAGAAGTATACTTGTATAAACTCTGATCTTGATGAGCTTGGAACTTCCAAAAAAGTCATTCATATCAGTGATATGCGAGGTGATATAGCAATTCAGCCTTTCTTCATGATATACAAAATCTTCATCTCTCTTGAGAATATATCATTAAAATTTTCTTATGCCCACTCTGTAGGACCTTTCAAAAATCAATATGTCAAGTTGTTTGACAAGAATAGTCAATTTTTACTGAAAGTCTGATGGATCAACACTAACAGGGTCGTGTTTCATATATATCAGTAGGTATTGTGGAAAAATTCAGATTCTTTGCAAAACAAAAAAATGGAGACACATAATTTCAACACTCAAACACATTTTTATTCACTCAGGACGGCTTGTACAAGATGACCGTTTATAAAAATACAACATCGACAAGTGATTCGTTCTGAACATGCTTCAATCTTCGATCACACGATTAGTACGAATACCGATGAGTCCTCAAGGCCGCTAGTGATAAGGCATTCTTTACTAGGCGTTTTTCTCATTTACGGGGTGATTTAAACATCGTCGCTAACAATAGTCTTTCTTCAAATACCTGTTGTTTTTGATTTATTGGGTCAATGTTATTGAAAAATGAGGGTTTTGTTTTTATCAATTATTGGCAAAATGTTTTTTTCGATATTCCTGCGATTACATTAGAAAAATGCGAATCAGCAATAAGAGTAATAAACTAGCATGCCAAGATAAATAATTGCACTGACTTTAAAGGACCGTTGTTACAGGGTTGTGGCGTCTCTCAAGGCACCCTAACTATTTCGGCGAAATAATATTGTGGTGGGGAATTTTCATCATATCTTTGAACGTTCTGGATGGTGTGGAATGGATAGCAATCATGTCACCACTTTTTACAACAATTATCATACTGTTCCTGTCTGGCATACCGATGCTGGAAAAGTCTTCCGATGAAAAATATAGAGAGTAAGTCAAGACAATATAATACAAAAACGAATAAAGTTGATGATTGAGAGTAATCAGTAGCAGTTAGCAAATCAATATCTAATCCTGCGCTTTTGTATAATCATGTATTATGTACCTATCGACGTAAGTCGAAAAATGTCGGTAGGTATACAACAGGCTGATTCACGGTGTATGGCACATTAGAGCATTAGACGTTTCTGGAGAACGCAATTAACGTAGGATTACACTGAAAATTTGGTTTCTTGGATAATCATTAGTTGTATTCTATCGACCTAAAATATTCCCAACACTGCGACGATGCCGTTTATAATGAAAAGTAGCACCCTATATATACAGGGTGGGTCACGGTCGATGGCACCTTAGACGTTTACGGAGAACGGGACATAAGATCATTCTGAAAATTTGGTGGTAAAATATTTTCAGCTCTGCGGCGTTGCCGCTTCTATCGAAAAGTAGCAACAACTTTGTTATTTTAAATGGAACATCCTGTATTTTATCGCATTTTCAGATTGTCTCTGAAGAGCTGATTTCATCGATGTATCACACTTGGGGTCTAGCGGAAATGATTACAGAGATATAGGGTGTGAAAAATCGACATTTTTCAACTTTAGTAATTTTTTTTGTCGAAACTATTCATTATTGGTCAAAACGGCTTACATGTCCCTATCCCAACTTTTGATCAACTATCTACTGACATTGCGATGCGAATGCGATAAAATACAGGGTGTTCCATTTAAAATAACAAAGTTGTTGCTACTTTTCGATAGAAGCGGCAACGCCGCAGAGCTGAAAATATTTTAGATCGATAGATCAAGAGCAATTACTTGAGTAACCAAATTTTCAGAATGATCTTATATATATGTCCCGTTCTCCGTAAACGTCTAAGGTGCCATCTACCGTGACCCACCCTGTATATATCATTCCATTCTCAGATTTTTCCTGAAGAGCTGATTTCATCGATCTATCACACTTGATGTCTAGCGGTAATGATAACAAAGATATAGGGTGTGAAAAATCGATATATTTGTCAACTTCAACAATATCTTGTGTCGACACAGTTCATAATTAGTCAAAATGGGTTTTATGTTTCTATCTCAAGTTTCCATGTACTATCAATTGATATTTTATTGAAATAGATACAGGGTGGTTGACATTTTTAACAAATCATATAGTTGTTGCTACTTTTCAACATAAGCGGCAACGTCGCAGCGCTGGGAATATTTTAGGTCTATAGAGCACAATTAATTATCCAAGGCACCAAATTTCCAGAATGATCCCAAGTTACGTTCTCCAGAAACGTCTAATATGTGCCTTTCCACCGTGAATCAGCCTGTATATACTGATGACTTCTTTTTGATCCTGTGTACCAATTCAGAAAAACAATGAGTGAGTATACAGTGTGTCCAAGATGAGGATAAACATCATAGGGATCTCAGTTACTGTTTCTTTTAAACGCAACAGATTTTGTGAAAACCATTTTGTAGAGGTAAAGAAGAAAAGCAATGAGAAAGTGACTTTGGTTTTCTCGAAACTTCTCAACTAAATAACTTCAGAAGGGAATAAAAACGAAATTGCCAAATTCGACATTTTCGAATACCTATCTCTAGAAGTTGCTAAAATTTTTGGGAGTTTTCAACATCTATTCATTGATGCCTTAATTGCACAACTTTTCACCCATTTGACCTACTGTGTAACTCTTACGGTTATAGTGCGATCCCCATGCTGTTCATTCTTATATTGAGCACACTGTATATTTTTTATTCGGATGCCTCTCCTCAGGACCATTTGAAAGCGAACCACCTTCATAAATTTTTTATTTATGGAGTGATTTTCACACTTTTTTCTTCAAATGTAGAGGGAGTAAAAGTGTATTTTGAGGTGAAGCGGCGACCATTTTTTGAAGAAACCAAGGCCTACCTAATCACATACAGAGGCTGAAAAATCAAAATCCATATTAGCAATTTGAAACAAAATCGCGTACACCACTGGAATTGGCGTCCTCTGAAATAGATATGTACCAAGTTTCATGAAAAAATATCCAACATTAGTGAATCGACACCCCCCCCCTGTCTATCTCAGCTATTAGTCGATCTTTACCAAATTGGGACCGATATAAAAAGCCATCAATATGATTAATTTTGTTCTTCAGAGACATACACGACACGAAAACTCCTAAGTTGAAAAATCTCGATTTTGAATACCTTATATCTCCGTAATCATTCTCGCTAGACCAGTGTGATAGTTTGATTTCAAAAGAATGAACTAGACCCTGTAAATCGTTTGTTCCGAGCACCCCATATTTTTTTATGTAGCGAGAAAAAATTATCGAGTCATTTTAAATGATTCTTCAAATTTTAGGATCGGTTAAAAACTGAGCTATAGGGGGGTTCGGTTAGGTTTCATTTTTGGTGAATCACTATGTACGTGGATCTGCCCCAGTTCCTGAAGTTCGTCCTATGTTGCTATAGTAACCCATGTATAACTTGCTGCAGCTTTCTGTTTTTTGATATCTATTTACTCACCAATAGCTTCCATGAGTTCCATGCAAATACCATCAATACCGTTTTCAGTCAATCAATCAATAAATATATGCTTATTTATTATCTGAAGATAAGTATAATCTCATTGACAGAACCCGGAGGAGAGGCTAAGTTATTATAAAATCCAGTCAGTCATGGATAAAACGGTATACTTAGAATAGGAAAAATATATCAAAGATACACTGAGGAAAATAGTGCTATTAGAGTTTTTGCTGAAATATTACTTGCTACCCTTACAAGAAATCCTATTACCGTTTCACATTTTCGAATAGAAGCAGCACATTGAAATCCTATGATAGCAATAACGACTTCGCTGAAAGTGAATTTTCTGCATGCTGTCGCTAACAGGCAGCCACTCTGGGATAGCCTGATTGTTTAGCTGAATTACTACTATAGTGAGCTATATTATGCCTGTGGCTGCTATAGGTTTATCGCATATAACACTACACATAACACTACCAATAATACAACTGTCAACCTGCCACGAAAATAGTAGGACTATTCAGCGCCTATACTTGTCGTGATTCGATATTTTGCTGTTAATAGTGCTAATATATATATATAATATATATATAATTATTCTCCAAGGTAGTAAATAATATCAGTATTAAGGTACCAAGGTGTATATTAATTTTTTTCACCACTAGCAATACATTCCAATCATTTTATTTCTGTGAAATTGAACTATGAGCATATTGTCACTATGAAAGCACTTATTTTCACTTCTAATTAAAATATAGTAGTTATGACCATGACAGCATAAGACAAGTCGTTATTGATAAAAACCCACTAGATTCGAGTGCCCTTTCTATGAACCTAGCATCAGAACAGTGAATTCGGGTTACTTTTATCAGAGGTGGCCATTTCTTTATTGACTAGTGGTTCATAAAATCACGAAAACTACCTTGGTAGTAAACACACACTCAACGCCTCGAAAAGGAGTAAATAATATTAGGTTTTGTAGCTAGTGGTGGAAAAAATTATACATGAAAGATACAAAATAAGATTTTATAATATTTTTATTTTCAGCATATCAGACTACCGCTTCTACAAATCCTCCACCTCGCCTCTGATCCCCATCCCGCCTTCGGTGTACGTGGAAGTGCCTCAGTTCCTGAAGTTCGTCCTATGCTGCGAGTACCCCCTGTACAACTCGCTGCAGGAGAAGAAGTCCTCGCACAATATCATCAAGGAGTCCAACAGCGCGTCGCTGGCTGCCTCGCAGACATAGCTGTAGCTGCTGGCTGGTGCACAGCAGATCAGCACCGGCAGCAGCAGCTCCGTGTTCGAGAACAAGGTTCAAATTACGGCTCTGTGAATCGATTCCGAGGATGTTAACCCTCAGCAGGCGGCCGTCGTAAAATTTACGGCAAGCACGCCTCCCAAGAGATATTAGAGGGCTTCACATTTATGTCACACATCACATCCGCGTGACTCGAATTGGGAGTCCCACTGAAACTACCATTTCGGACCCTTTTGGTTATTTGATGATTCACATGAAACTCCAAGTACGCGACTTCTCATTCAACTTCAAATTTGATTCATTCAGTTTGTTATACATTATCAGACAAGAATGGGAGGTTCCAGTGAGTCTCTTGGTTGTTAGGGAGCCTCACAAATTCACCTACATTTTGAGCCTCAAATCCTATAAAATGTTACATATATTGCGATTGTTTTGAAATGTACCCTTGTAATACCGATGCTGGTTTCTTGTAATTCGCATAGTTACCCACCTATAGCGAGTAATGAATGTAACATCCAAGGAATATATGTTTTTACTGGGAACTTCTTCCATTATAGGTCACTGTGATATTCTTCGTTATATCCTTTTTCATACATTTACAGCAATTCCCCAACATTTATGTGAAAATATGCACCATTTACATAAAGAAAAGTTAATGACTTGAAATTTACGCCAAGCACCTGTTAATGGAAAACTACACATCGCGCAAGCGCTGGAAGAAAGTACTATCATATTATAATAACCTTTCTCATACCCTCAAAAAAATTTTCCAACATAATGTAGTGAATAAAACATCAATCAAATCAAGAGAAAACTCTACAAGCGCCCATGTTCATGGAAATCTACACAGCGTGACCGCCATGAGGTTAAACTGCATTCGTGGTTCAGACATAACTATAATGAGTGGTTCAGACATTAGAGCCTAGCCATAGCACCACTATACTATAGGTAGAACTGTTATTAATCATTCTCAATACTTTATTTTGACTCATATCAGTTTCCTGCTGGTGATGGCAGCAAAATCTTCATGAAAGTTCATATGGAGATCCTCATCAATCTTGTATGTACTCTAATGACCATAAGTCACCCATATACGTATTAATAATCAATACGGATAATCTCTATCTGTTTCCATAGCGAAACATGAAGCCGATTTTTGAAGACAAATGACTATCCATAAGGAAAAGTTTTGAAACGATCAGACACATACTGCTTTGATTGAAAGGCTAGTAAACGTCATTGTCCACCGAAACGCATGTCTTTGATGACTACTATAATAGCGCATGGCGCATGCGTATCATGCCACCAAATCCTTATGGATATTCATTTGTTTCATATTTTTGGCTTCATCCTGGCACCCGTTATGATCCGTATTGTTTATTAATACGTATATGAAGTCACCAAGCTATATATGAGGGTGGTTCTTAGAGTATATGGCTTTATTCGATCTGTCAAGTTTGGTAGATAACATATCATTTTTTTTTGTATTTTTTATATTGTATTCTAGTATTGTACAGACTATACGGGTTGGCCACTTCTTTAATGGAATTGTATTGGTAGAGATAAGTTATTGGTAACTTTCAAACCGCATATACTCGCTAGTTAGAAGGTCGGTTAAATGGGGAAAAAAGTTGCGTTCCAGGAAGGACTGAGAATTTATCGAAAATATATCAGGGATCCGTTTCTTGAGATATGACAAAAAAACAAAAATCGATCATTTCGATTCTTTGGTTATAATTCATTCGTTTTCAGAACTACCGGCCCTGATATTTTCAATAAGTTCTCACCGCTAGATGATGCTTCCTGATAGGCAACTTTTTCTCCATTTGACCGACCTATATAGTAACTAAGTATGGTTTGGAAGACGGGAGTTACCAATACAATCCCATTAAAAAAGTGGCCACCTCTTATATCATTATCAGAAATGGTAGGTATATGATAAACCGATCCCAAAAATATATTATCATGCTCTTTGAAATGTATAATGAGAGTGATAATTTGAAATTCTGTATCTATAGGTGAAGACTCATTCAAATAAATAATGAAAAACTTGGTAGAAGCTCGAATGGTATAGGTACCAACTTTTCATTGGATTTATTAGAAGGAGATAGGTACCATACATGTGTATGGAATCGGCAGGAATATTTACAATTTTACGGGTCATATAAACGATATGAAGAATTGATGAAATGCGTTGTAACCTTTACTAAGGTAGACTTGTTTCTCCAAATATTATTGTAAAATTTGGGTTTTTCGAATTTCGTGGAGCTCTTCCACTATACTTTTCGAGAAACAATATAAATTCTAGATGCATGCCCTAGACACCTAGAGCAGGAATTTTGTATATAGTCGTAGTTTTACGACTATATAGGTACTACCTCCAAACAATCCTCAGCATCTAATATAGATAGATTCAAAAAGTATTAACAGAATTCTTGTCAGTAGGTAGACATACATTTATTATTATTGAAAAAATACGAATACCTACTAGTTTAGTGAAGATTTGAATACCCAAAACCACAAGAAATATTCAGAAATTTTCAGACTATATATTGACTATATTATATTTTGGCAACTGAGTTCCTATTCAATCATAATATTATGTATAGTGAATCAAAGAAGTATAGAGTTCAGCTATTTTCATTCTGGATCATCGTCGTAAGTCAGTATATGGGATTTTGTATGAACGATTCAACAGTTATATGATATATTCATGCAATACCTGTTATCTCTAATAAGTAAGTACCACCAATTTGAATTATGTGGTAGACTATTCCACTCATCTTGAAATTCTCACATAATCTGACCAATCACAAGCCAAGGACAGCTATAGTGTTCTCGCGATGATACAAATCGCGAAAACTCTCATTGGTCTGTCAGCGTTGATGTTAAGCAAAGTATCTCAGTTTGACTGTTGACATGAATTATAATTAAAGCTGTTGATGTCAGAATGCATTGATTATATGGCTTGTTTATTTATAATGAATGTTTCTTATGCGTCGTGAAATAATATCTAGCAAAATACCACTCTGTTCTGGATAACTTCTCATTAGTCTGTCTTTCATCATTAACTCAATTGTGTTGCCGTACAGCAATAGCTCGGCAACACAATTTCGTGAACAACAAAGCGACAGAAAATTATTTCGAATATTCAGAACATCGTGATATATATCACTGTTGCAAATCCTACAGACCGAGATGTCTCATATTTGACTGGTTCATTTGATTTTTTTGATATCTGAATGGGTGGTCGTATATATATGTATATTTCAGGATGAGCTCAACAAATTATTGTTCCAGAGTAGAACCAGTAATTGACTATAGGTGCGATAATGTTGATGATAATACTATCATTCTTGATATCAATAAGTGTAAGAGAAGCAGAAGTTTGAACCCACTCCTAATGGTTTTCTAACTACTACTTACGTTTCATTGTGATTCTTATAGTGTCAAAAAGTAAGAAAAATAAATAGGTAGGTAACCAATATATCATAGTATATTTACTGTAAAAAATACAAAATAAAGACAGTCCAAATTTAGTGGTTTCTTTTATCAAAAACTAATCAAAATATACGTTATTCACGGTGACATACTAATTGAGACAGAAACTCGACAAGAGTACGAGTGGGTCGGCCAGACATCCCCTGACGAAGGTACGGAAAGTCAGTTCCATTCGAAAGCATGACTCCATAAGTATCTAAGTGAAGCCAATCCCCGCAAGGCACAAACTCATTCAAAAAAGCAGCCACTTTGCAGGCCTCCCCGCATCTGGGAGCGCCACCTTTCCCAAAAGTCTTCACATCCACGGCGTGGTGATTGCTCACGAGCTTCGTGAAATGGTCCCACAGCGGAAAACGCCAAACCCGATCACCAGTATGCATTGAGGCAGCCAACATATACTCCCAAAGAGCTTCGGAGTTACTGAACACGCCACTAGCCGAAGCACCCAGTGAGTGTTTCATATCGTTGGTCATGGTACCAACGTCCACAATGAACCTGGGCCAAAAATTCTGCGCGTAAACCAACGCATCCGCTAGACACAGCCTTCCAGCAGTGTCGGTGGACTCGATTTTGATGCTCTTTCCGTTCATAGCCTTGACAATGTCCCCAGGCCGCATGGCTGCACAACCTGGCATGTTTTCGCAGAGGGGGATCAAAGCTCTCACGTTGATCGGCAGCTGGAGACCAGCTACTGCACGGCAAGCTGCCAAAACGCAGGCTGCACCGCCCATATCTCCGCGCATGAAACGTTGTTTGTTGCAAGGCTTGATGCACAATCCCCCGCTGTTGTACGTTATACCTTTGCCAATAAGAACGACGGGTCTTTCGTCTCTCGAGGCTCCGTAGTAGCTTAGCTCGAGGAATATAGGTGGTTCGCAGGAACCTTGAGCTACTGCTAGGAACGCGTACATCTTCTGCGTTTCTGCCCACCCACGTACCTTGACTTCGACGTTTACACCGGATTTGCATAAAACTTCAACGGCATTTTGCGCAAAAGAAGTGGGTGTCATCAGGTTTGCAGGGGTGTCCATGAGTTGTCTGGACAAATTCTGAGCAGCGGCTTTCTGTAAACCGATCTGCCAACCCGTCCAGTCACAATCGTCGTAGAGCTCTAACTGGGGAATGAGGACCTGGTGTTTCTTCATTTTCTTTTCTTGGTAGAGCCAGACCCCGAGGGCCGCGCCCTCGGCTGCAGATTCTGCGTGGCCAAAACTTTCTATGTACACTCTCCTCACCGACATTTTTTGAAGGGCTTTGCATCCTGTAGAAGCTGCTATCCTGATGGCTTCCTTTCCTTCGTCCATTTGCTCGAAAACGTCGTAGCCCTGGCATTCGGGACCCATTCCTACTACGGCCACCATGGAGAATTCGTCGTCGACGTTGTAGAAGACTCGGACTTCGCCCTTTTTTGCGGGGGGTCCTGTATACTTGATCAATTCGTACAATCTGTGACACACCATACTGTCGTACCTTTCTCCGGTTGGGGTCAGTTTGCCTGGGTCATAGACATCCTCTGGGTTCGTGTATAATCCGAAAACCAAACCTTTATGGCGATTATGTTTGCAAGGATCTTCTGCTGGTTTCTTGACACATGTCGTTGCTTCTGCAAATCTTCTTGTTGTCGATGTAAAGTTTGGCTTGAACAAATTTCTTACTATTTGCCGTATTGGTAGAGCCATATTAACTATTCCACTAATTATTGCATTACTCACAATTTACTGCAATTTTATGACATTTTATGAAAAAGTCGAAAAAGTTGGTGCTTATTTATTGGTTCCTTTGGCGATTTGATTTTTGTTTTAATTCAAATTCGAAAGTCGAGTGACATTCTGATAATTATACAGAATGACAAATATTTTCAGGAAATATATTTGATCGGAATAAAAATGTATATAGGTACTCACTAATTCGAGAATATATCTGCACAATGAATAGAATAACACGAAATGGAAAATAATCCATAGGGATTTACAATTCCAAATATAAATTAGCCTTATATTACCGTTGCAACTGTGAATCAGCCCCATATCGTTGGCCCCACGAAGGTGTATGTTACAAATTCAAAAATATTGGACTGATACTCTTACAAGGGACTATGTTGTCTTGGCCACACGTAGAACCTGGTTTGATATACCAATATTACAACGAATATGAATAGGAGAAATACAAGGGTGTATGTCATTTTCGTTACTTGTTTGGAGTTCTAAAAAGGTGTATGTTTACACATTGAACCCTATTTGATGTGTATAATTGATTTAGTGGACAACAAAGTTGTACGTTGAAACCATGTTGAAACATACTCCCTTGTAGCCCTGTAAGCCACCTCTTTTTATGACTGTTTTGATTTTCAAGACTTTTTTATGTTCACTTACAATTTCACATCAAGGTCTATCAACTCTCACATGACTCACATCAATCTCAAATCAGTGACATCAGTCACATGTCACATCACATAAATTATTGTTGTACTGTGTCGTGTGTGTTCATGGTCAACTGGGGCCACTTTCTTGTTCTGTGTTCCGGGAGCGTAGTCGCTGAGTATGTTGAGGTTATGATTTTTGAATGAAATATTTTTTATCAGAATAATAATTGGGATCTCGATATCTTTGTTTCGGATATCAGAATGTCTCGCTACTGTTCAATAGGCCGATATAACCAACAAATCAGGAATTTGAAAACGATAAAGGTACGAAAAATATACCCTGAACACAGATGGGTTTAAGGTTAGTTTCATCTTTTAGGAGAACATTATGAAAACATCCAAGGCATTCCAGCAAGTTTCCCTTGATGGAGTCTCATCAAAAATCAAATGGAATTTCCTGGGTAAAATATTGGTAGGTGCATCTTCTGTATCTGTAGAAGGTTGTTAATTTTCTAAAATTCTTGTTTCAGAGAAACTTATCACAATCAGATGTTCCGATGCAAGATGACAGTAAGGTATCTACAGTGCAACTTGCTTTTGAAAATAACCATGTTAAAAACAAGGTGGGAGATGATGTTATGGTCCAAGATTCTACTTACTATTTCATTTTATTATCTTATAGTTCTCAACAAAGATACTGAGAAAACACATCAACAAACTATGTAGCAATTTCGAAAAAACTATCAGAACTAACAAGCTGCCTCTATATTCTGTGGCAGGACTATCCATGGTTGAAAATACATCAGACCCCAAAATACAACCTCTCATTGAACCTATACCAGAACCTCCTCCTATTCCTGAAGGAGCAGGAGAGATTTTAAATCAGTTGAATGCTCTTGGTGAACCCACATTTGCTTCTTTAGGTTTGGGAGGTTATTCTCCAGTGGGACTAGCCCAGAACTGTTTTGAATATCTACATGTAACATTAGATTTAGAATGGTGGGCTGCCATTGCTTTGGGTAATATATTGTACTTGGCAAATATGAGGATACTTGGAATCAAATTTCAGGAACTCTTATCATAAGAATTTGCCTCTTTCCCCTGGTTGTGATAGCACAGAGAAATGCAGCAAAGATGAACAACTATTTGCCACAGATGCAATTGCTGCAACTGAAAATGACAGAAGCCAGACAAACTGGTAATCAGCTGGATGCTGCTAGGTACTCACAGGAGCTCATGTTTTTCATGAAAGAAAAAGGGCTGAATCCTCTCAAAAACATGGTTGTTCCTCTTGCACAGGTATATTTGTATAAAAAAAGGAATTTCAGCATTCTCATTGATTATCATTTCACAGATGCCTATTTTTGTTTCTTTCTTCATGGCACTCAGACAAATGACCAATGTCCCAGTTGATAGTCTGAGGACAGGTGGGTTATACTGGTTTACTGATCTAACCCTCCCTGATCAGTATTTTCTTCTCCCAATTATAACTAGTGCAACTTTGTATGCTACCATTGAGGTAATATGAATAGTAAACAATCAACATGAAGATATAATTTTGCTTTTTCCTCAGTTGGGTACAGACACTGCAAAATTGTCATCACAAAATATGCAATTGATGAAGTATGTTTTGAGAGGATTACCGCTGGTGGTATTGCCATTTACAGTTAATTTTCCTGGAGCAATATTATGTTACTGGATGTCCAGTAATTTCATTTCTCTGGTACAAGTGGGATTTTTGAGAATTCCCAGGGTTAGAAGTTACTTCAACATTGAAGCATTACGTAAAATTGATCCATTAGACCTGCCTATGAAGCCAAAAGGATTCAAAGAAGGGATAAAGGATTGTGAGATATTTTCTCATAGCTTTTTTACTATTAATATAAATTATAATTTTTTTACAGCTTGGACAAACATTAAAATCACCAAGGAATTAGAAGAAAGGAGAAGATTAGATGAAATAAAATTTCAGAGAGCAGGGAAAGGTCCAATTGTTAAGACCTACAAATATGATCCTACAAAGCAAGTGGAGCCTTCCAATAGTGTACCAATTAGTGCTAAGAAAAGATAATATATTATAATATAGTGATAATAAAATACAGACAAAATGTTTAAATATTTTATTCATTGATGTGCACATCAATTACCAGAAATGTTGGGAAGTATTCAAAATCATATTACTCACAATACCCTATATTTATAGAAATTCATAACAATATGGGAGATGTTCCACTTACAAAATAAGCTTATTACATATAATAACACAATCCAAGGTACTGGTACCAGAAAATATCTTGTATTGTTAAGAATTTGCAATGAATTATATCCTAAGAAAGTTATATAGAAATAGTACAAACAGGAGCATAGCCAGAAAGTATTTCCTAGCAAAATTGACAAAAACCAATCATGACTTATGATCCCATTATAGAAAAACAGCTGAATGAAATGAAGTAATATCAGGGGAGGGAAGAATGCATTTAGGTGAATGTCAAAGGCAAAACCCCATTCAACATCCTGTAAGTTAGTTTTTGGCTTCAGGAAAGAATTTGTTAAATACCAAAACAATGTAGCAATTAGGAGACCTAGGCCAATGCAGTCAATAAAAATAACAAGAAGTAGAAATTTAATGAACTGTACAAATGTTAGTTTGAGGACTATGGAAAATCCTATTGTGGTTATGCTGAGTGCTGCTGCAAACAGAACCAAAAAAGCAGGGTCATCTCGTGCATACTGAGATTTAGAGAGTTTCCTAGCTCTGAATATTTTAATCAACTTCTGTGGGGCAACAAATAAATAAAACATTTGCCACATAGCAAACTGAAAATCCATTTGATCAAATTTGAATATTTTACGCATGTACCTTGCACACTTATTGTATGCAGATGATATATCACACTGGGATGCAGAACAAATATCATTTGCAAAACTCATTTTGGAAAAATTATGCTCTAGCTCTGAAAGAAATACACTGATTAATAACTTTAATCAAATGGGAGTTCTCAAGTGCAGCTGCTACTCGTTCTTTGTCTGCCAGTTGTTTGTTCACTTGCAGTTCTGCGTTGTGGGTACCAGGAGTAACTTCAACTCTAACTTTGAATCTGGCAGGTAAGCACCTCAATAATTTGACTCTGATAGAAAGGCCTATCAGTGTAGCCATGCTACAGTGCGGGATGGTAGGAGTAAAGTGGACATCGACTGTCCCATTTCCATTATCTATGTCTATCAAATCCTCCTGGACAACATGCAGTTGCTCCAAAGTAAGAGGGTGTTCTGGGTCGTTGATATGTCGAATCAGATCTTAGAAGGAAGTTAGAGATTAGGGAACACATTATTATTACAATTCTGTTTTTTGACTCACCAAATATCTCTCGGCTGTCAAATTCGTCTACAACTGAATCATCCTCCTCTTCTAAAGTGGAAGGCCGTTCATCGAGTTTCGTATAAACGTCAGGATTCTGATTTTCTAGCTGATCAACTGACATAATATTACATCAGCATGAAAAATTATGAAAATAAAAATCTAATAAACCGACATGAAAATGTAGTAGGACTGCAATAATAATACTACAAAAACACTCAAACAGTGCAAAGTGCAATAATTATTAATTAGTCAAGTCGACAAATGACATAATAATGACAATACTAAACAGGACATACGACACAAAAATCCAAACAAAAACCGAATCAACAATATTTACGACTGCCTGCAGTCAGTTACCTCACACTACATCCAATACTCTGGCTTCCAACAGACCGCTGTCGTTCCACTGAATACATTCAAACCCTTGAACCTCTCTAACGTGAATTATCTAGTGAGCTCGTGGTACAGTGGGCCTGACCGAGCTGGTTTAATTGTTCGGAAAATAGAGTTTCCTTTGTTCTCTCTAGTAATTTCCCGAAGAGTATAATTTTTAGGAAGTTTCATTTGAGTAAAGTGCTGACAAGAAGCGAATAAAAGAGAATATGTCTCCTTTGCCAATTTCCAAACGTGCCGAGATTGAAACTGATTTATATGTTATAGTGGCAGAGCGTCGATGTCTCCGAGAATATTTCGTCCCTGTTCATAGTTGATATCTGACGGACCAGTTTTTTTTAATCTCTTGGAGCGCACGAAAGGAAATTCCTATAATGTCCGTGGAACATCGTGCGTACCTAGGGAGGATAAGGAGAGGAGAATAAAACTATCATGTGGTGCTCGCACTACGAGTATTCAATGCACATATGTTGAGTTGCGCCCTAGTCCATCGGGTATTATCTTTCGTGAGGGGCGAAATATTCTCGGATAAACAGGGTGATTCCTTGAGGTGCAAACTGAAATGTGGATAGTTCAATTTAGAGGCTTATTGTTATGCATCCCAACATTCTCCAAGAAACGTGCACTTTATGAGATAAATAAGCATATCCATTCTGGAACATGGTAATTTCATTTATATTTTCCTCTTAAATTTCATTCTTGGACAAAATTAGTTAACAATATAATGAAATATGCAAAAGAAAGTATCACATTCCGCAAGAAGATTTTTCCCGACAAGTTGAAAGCTATTTCATTTTGTAATTTTTTTCAAATAGATATTGGATGAGGAATATGGATAGGGCTCAACCAGTTGCTCAACACGAATTTTCCACATCGTCGTTGGATTGGTCGGTTGAAAGCAACCTGAACTTCTACCCTCTGTATCCCGGCAACTGATTCAGATTGGAATTTGTTACATTTTATTGCATTAAGCGAATAAAAAAGGGCAAAATTGAAATGTTATTGCACGGATATGTTTATTTATCTTAAGAAAAACGGTGCTTTCCACGAAAAAAATTGAGATGCAAATGAAGTCTGAAAATTGAACGATACACTCTATTTGATAACTGAAATAAGATGTCAGGAGCGTACTACGAGAAAGTTTTGTGGGGAATAAAGAAGCCTCTACCTTCAAAAACCTATCACCCTGTGGATTTTGGAAATCTTTCAAATGCTTCATATGATGATCTTTTAGAAAAGATTGACTACACCAAAATTCGTATTGATATCTCCAGAAGTGATATGTTTCAAAACATTTCAATAAATTGAAACAAATAATTGAACTTTGCCCTCCTTCATTTCCGTCACTGATCGAGATCGGACACATATTTATACACACTTTTTTATCAAAATGATCAGATCTATCACCTATTTCAGTTTGCACCTCAAAACCTGAATCACCCTGTATATATAGATACAATCTGACTTTAACTTAGATCAGTTTGAATCGCGGTAAATTTCGATATTCTCGAAGAGGACATCACCCCTTTTGTTTATTGCTCTTCGTAGTCTCAACTCATTATCACATGACGAAAGTATGTCTGGAATAATGGCAGCCAATAAATAGCTGTGCCATGGATTTGATTCAGATTCAGGGGTGGCACAGGTAGGTTTTTGAGATCCACCATTTAATTGGTATCGAATGACATAATTCTTATCAAGTTATCAAATCGCGAAATCGAGTGCAAATTATCGCACAGAAAAGTGCCATTCTTCAATTATTTCGCTAAGGGTAGTGATTGCCACAGGTGCCGTTCGATAAAATACAATGTTTTTACTTGTCATTGGGACATATTTCATTATCAGATGCCGGTCGATATTTGCAGGCGGCTCTTGGACTATCTCTTGTTCTTCAAAAAAATATTTCTTAGGAAGAAGGTTAATTTAGGCAGAGTTGAATTATTTTCAAAAAGTATTGCTTATGCAGAAATCAGCAGGAAGAAACGGATATTTACCGTTTTCTGACCGTCTTTATACGTTCCTATGTTGGAAGCCAGAATATTGGATGCAGTGTTTGGAAACTATCTGCAGGCAATCGTCAATATTCAAGCGCCACCTCGATCTCGGTTGTGGTTATGGACGTTTGGTGTTTGACAGGGACAGGTGACAGTTTGAGTGTTCTGTGGTTTGAGTACATGTTATACATGTTGATTTGTTGGTGTTGAGGTCTTGTTTCTGTTGAGGCACAGTAAGGGTTGAGGGAAGTAGTTGAGGTTGAGGCCTTGAAGTTATGAGGTTCAAGGTTGGGGTCTACGGCGGCTCTAATCGATTATTTCCAGCATCTTGTGAAAGCCGTGAATGCCCAGTGCGACACTGGTGCGACAGTGCAAATACTGCAAATAGCAAACCTCAGGTTCAGAATGTTTAGGTGGACAAAGCCAATAATTATGTCCGTTTAGTTCGTAGTGTCGAAAATATTACTGAATTTCTCCACAAAATGTGACGTTCTGGAATGCTCAAACTGAAGTCGGTACGTATAGTACGTAGTCCACCTTTTACATAGTTGTTAAAATTATCCAACAAAACAACCGTCATATGACCGGCGCCAGTGACGGCGTCTTGATGGGAATGATGGGTGTGTACTTTCTGGGAAGATGAATAGTTATAATAATTATATTGGATTTTTGTGGGAATGGGGAATGGGCACGAATGGGTCTGATGTGTTATAACAAGTTATAAACTGAAATGTGGATTGTTTGGTTTGTATATTGAAATTAGAAAGTGATCTAGATGAATTTTGAATGGAAATTTGATTTTGTAGCTTCATGATATTAATAAGTTCTTACAAGAATGTTGATGATTTAATTTTTCTTTTGACTTCTGTTAATTATACCTACCTAATTATACTTAACTAGTAGACCACTAGAAGTTGGCAAATACTGCAAATACTGCAATTTTAAAATTATGACTACCGTTTTATTTTCAAATCTACGGCTTTTTTATGTTTACCGCTGTCCGCTTATCTCATTCTTGACCGGGCAGCACTAGCGAAAGACCTACAGTAGTGACCAAATCAGTCTCCAGCTAGGTTGCCATTTATATTCCCTATATATAACGATTCGGTACACATATTTATAGGGTATAGATAGGGTCTTCAACAATGATTGAGGACCACGTGATAGAATACTAGGCAACCAAGAATAGATTCGCATCTCTTTAACATGGGTCAAAAGAGAAGCCTCCTTTAAGACAGTCACATCAGTTACGTGGTACTCAATAATCATTGTTGAAGACCTGTATAACTGAGCGTTGATCGTCATATAGATTTCGGAAAAAATATTTTGGCAAGACAAACAAAACGGCTGAAAATACTTGCTTTATCTAGATCGGCCTCTGGTTCGAAAAACTCTGTTTTCATAGTGAACTATGAAATATATATCTAATGAGATATAGTCATCAGACGACCTAAAGTATATCTCGATCGTTCTCAGTTTTCGCTTATTTCTCCTACTCCTATCATCAATGTTCTCGTCAATGATCAATCCATTTTTCATTCTTGAACCTGGGTTTTCGGATTTTCGTGATAATTCGCATTTACATAAATATCAGTAAGTAATTAGCAAGGTAATAACATAGAGTGTGTTGGTATACCCTACTTTCGTGCCCCCTGTCTATTTGCCTATGAATTCTAATTAATGATATTGAAGCGATCTAACGTTCATATACTATATATTCTACTATATATGGATAGGTAGTTAAATTTCCATTTGTATATTAACTGATGTCTCGACCGAAGTATTGACTATGACCTATAGGTCATAAATGATGAGGTCATAAATCATATAGCCTATATATACCTATAGATATAAATAAGTAAGTACACTTGTCTCTCAGAGAACATGTACTTATAAATGGTGTCTGCCGCTGCAATAAGAGCGCTCCTACCGTACAACCGTGAACCGTGACATGTTCACTGAAGACAAACAGTTAAGAATGATTTGTGAAATTTATGGGTTATCCGGGGTTGAACTTATATTGGATACAGTCATCTTCAGAAAACATATCGCACATGGACAACGATATAGCACTGATAATAACTATACTGCAATATATAAGAGCTATATGGTCTATATGGCGTACTCTAAAAAAGTGAGATCAATTTTCATCAATAAGAATGCGAAATACCGATCTCCCTGCATATTTACATTTGCGATAGTCATTGCTGTACGAATTTTAGAGCAGTACCACTCAAGGATGTTGAAATATCCAAGAACAGTATCTATATCAAGGATCTTGTTATATTCATGAAAATGTGGATATAAAATTATTCTTCTTTTCGTATAGAGGTCAGGTCTATAGTTCACTCTGTAGAATTTATGGTACGTTGTTCTTCACATCTACGAATCAGGTGGCAGGAGATGATTTTTTTATCTGATATGTCATTAGTGCATTAAACGATTGTTGAAGTTTCAGCTTTTGTCATGTTTGATATTTACTCAATTTTTTAACAACATTGATAAACTGCTGATAAACGGTGTCCCACGATTGGGGTGACAGGAATGGATTTTGTTGATAGGCTATTATATTATTACAACAGATGAAAAAATTAACGAAGCTTTATCAATTAAGACATTGAAAAATGTCGCTGGCTGCCGGGCGTACGCAAAAAATATTATTCTCTATTGGAGTGCCTATAAAGTTTGCCCACTCTGTATTCACATGGGAATTCCCCTCATAGCCCTACAGCGAAGCGAATTCATAACCATGGATAGCTAGCGAATTAAACCATAATTTTCCATTGCTCATTACTTATGAAATCCGTGTATTCCAAATGTTCATAGGTAATGTGTGTTTCATAGGAAACAGTTTGAGTGTAACTAGCTCTGTAGCTAGGTATATATCTATATGGTGTATAACGAGTATCAGAGATTATACACGCGAGTATATAATCTAACTGTACCTACCATATGTTTACCAGGTTACCATGTGCTGTAAGTTCATTTACCAACGTAACTGTATTAATAATGATAATAACATTCATAGAACTAAAGTAATTTTCCAATTTCGATTTTCGATTATTAATTCAATTAGAATTCACTCGATATTTTGATATGAGTTAAGAAATAATTGTTTTTCGTCGAGTTCAAGTTCGAATAATCTCTGCGAATTAAACATTTAGCTCAATTTATTTTGTGTACTAGAACTGCCATCAGAGTTCGCTCAATATTCGTGTAAAAAAAAAGAAAAATAATTATGTCTATCCCCCAGTCTATCCTATTCCTTTTATGTGAAGATTAATGGAAGCCATATTTTATATTTATTTTATATTTAACATCGAAATATGACTTTTCTTTATGAATAGATGCCGCCTATTTTTAATCTAAGAGTTGACACTGCGATGAGTCAACATCATTCCAACGATTATTTTTATTTGGCGAGTGATATATTTCGATAAATCTAGAGAGTCAAACGTATCTCTCATTCATTAGGATTGATCCCCATCACTCGCTGTTTACTTGGTGATAGTAGGGCAGGTCAACTGATTTCCTTAAAGGGCGTAATATTTCTATTTTTTTCCAGGATGACCATCTAATATGATTGAAAAACGGAATTGGCACAACCTCGGATTGCTTCTCATCGGATGCCTGATCTGTTTAGCCCTATGGAACAAGACCTCCAATCCCTCTATATCTCCGGATATTCCAATTTTTAGCCGCTCGATCACGGTCTACAAGTTGTACACTCAAAACACCAGCGGACATCACAACCAATTTCTCTATTTACCTGAGAAAGATTATACTCAACTTATAGATTTAGATTTCAACTTTACTCTAGTCAATTTTGGTTGCAATGAAACCAATAACGCCCTGTTGCTGTTGGTTCTCGTTCACTCGTCTCCCAAAAACGTAGCGAAAAGACGAACAATTAGGGAGACTTGGGGCAAGAAAGATGATAATGTTAAACTCCTGTTTTTGGTTGGTAGCGTCAACTCCACAGAGATCCAGAATATTTTGGAAGACGAGAATAGCTTACATAATGATATTATTCAAGGAAGCTTTTTAGACACTTACAGGAATATCACCTACAAACATGTGATGGCTTTCAAGTATGCCATCTATCATTGTCCACAAGCCAAATATATACTCAAGACTGACGACGATGTATTCGTCAATATGCCAACAATGATTAAATTCCTCACGTTCGATCTGTCACCGTACGGTGCTAGTAATGTTCTGTTTTGCACACCTAGGTTTAATTCGAAAGTTCTGAGGTCATATCGCTCCAAATGGAGAGTGTCTTTTTCCGAATACCCTTACAGAGTGTACCCCACTTATTGCCCTGGATGGGCTTTGCTGTATTCACCAGACGTCATATACGCCTTGTATAAAGAAGCACAAAAAACTGATTACTTTTGGATAGACGACATTCACATAACCGGTACTTTGACAGAGAAACTGAGCATCCTTCACACTGATATAGAATATTTGGTGTTATCTGAAAAGAATTTGGGGAGTATTGTTGAGAATTCTCAGAATGTGTCTGTGCCATTTCTGTATGGAAGGGCAAATATGAGAGATAAAGAAATCAGAGCTCTTTGGAATTTCTCTATGCTTCATGATTCGCCAAAATTCATATTCAGGGATGTTGAAAGGAAATATATTTAACGCACATCACACATGCTTGCACAATACTCAAATTTATTATGCATTAGCCTTTTCTATTTACATATTATTTTTAACTAATATGTACATAAACCATTTCACTCAGAATTCATTACGTGGTAGGGTTTTTGGTTACTCCTTATATGAAGGAAAACTTTGGCCACAATGAAAAAAAATGGTTTGGAAGGCTCAACGTTTATTAATATGCAATGACTACTGAAACTCCACTTCAAACCTTATAAAGATTAGAAGATTATAAACAATAGCGGAGGTTACATGAATTATTTCGTGGAATGACTTATACAAGCAAAAAATGATGTAAGATGTAATAAAAATAATACAAGAGACAAGAAATATTAATAATCTTTGCCGAGAATTATTTATAGGAACTGTTTTTTCTAGTTTTTTCAAGATTCAGTCAATATTTTCTGATATAAATAGACTCTTTATAGCATCAAAATATTTTCAAGGAGTTTCATCTGTTTTTGCGTTATTATTATATATAATAGAACAAGATGTTACGAAAGAGTTGTTTCTCAAAGTTACCTACCTCCGTTTCACATTTTGGCAGGTAGAACAAAATAACCTTAAATTAATTCAGCTGAACTTAGCTGAAATTTCCAATGGGTCGACCGCGTAGACAAAATTTCAATGTGAATGGTGCGGGGTCCTTTAAATTGATTTTTAGTTGGCTTCAACTTCAAGATATGTATATTATATGAGTTCAAGTTCATTTTTTCGTATGGAATTTAACAAATTGGCCAGTGTTTTTTATGGCAACTATATTTTGATTGAAAATACTTGATCGTATGCAATTCAATTAATCAACAATTCATACAAATTGAAAGAATGTTTCTTCTGTCTGCTTGCTATTTATTATTATTGTTGCGTATTTTTCTCCCAGATAGAACAGTGTGATGTCACAATGACGTCAATATCACGATTGTCACGTCATGAAATATGATCAATATTGACTCTAATATATATATATATATATATATATACTGAGTGTTAACGAAATTAGGGCGATGAATAAAATTGGGTGTTTTATGAGATTTAATGACACTTCCGGTGCCTGTGATCTCGCCGAAAGATGCCGAAAGCAAACGCTTGGGTTGGGCTATTAACCTTTGATGCTTAATAATACCTTCCTAAATATATTTTTTTCGATAAAAATGTATTCTTTCATTTCTTTTTGTTTTTTCGTCTCTTATGAATTTCATTGATCGTCCCAATTTCGGAAACACCCTGTATGTAACCAAAATTGAAAAGTCTTCAACTATAGTCATTAGGATCTCACATACCTACTCAGTTTGAGATATTCACCTCGATGTATGCATTCATTGAGACTGAATTTTATTCTGGAAGTGATTCTGGGTTTCACCCAATCAAATTGTGATCAAAAATATTCTTCAGTATTTATGATTTAGATACTTTATGCGTCAACAACTTATTTATATGATATAAGATTACTAGTCCTGTTGAGTGCTGAAAATCATCAATTCATTTTATTCCCAAAAACAAGTAATATTAGAGTGCCGTGAAACTCGAAATTTTTTTCAAATATTAGAGAAAGTGCCTATATTACTTAATGTTCGCATAATCATGTTGATATTTTATATTTTGTATTGTAGTTTGAGATCATGGGTCCATAATGAAATTATAGTACCTTAGTAGAGGAGGAAGATACTATATGTATATACAGCGTGTCTCACTTTAAACGGCCCCCCTCTATATCTCAGTTATTAGTCATGCGAATCCAACCAAATTTGGTGTGGTATGAATAACCATCAATATGATCAGCCTTACAGAGATGCACATTATTTTAGACAGTGCCGTGCGTTTTTATTGAACTAAAAAGGGGTCGATTTTTTATAAAATCATATTAGGCCTTATTTTGCAGGAAATCTAACCTCATATTATTGTTCCTCATGCTTTCGAACCCACATATGCAAAAAATCACCTAATTCCGAATCAACAGGATTGTCTTCATTTTTTTCATTTTCAGTCTCGAATAAATAGTGACTTCAAATCAACTACGAATTTTGGAACGTTGAATGGCTCCGGTAGATGGAAAATCATGATTTGGAAGGAAAAACGAGTTATACTTTTTTATGTTGAACTCACCGTTTCGGAGTAAATAATTATTACGTTCCCAAAAATGCTGTAGATGTGCCTGTTTTTCTGAAACCATGAACAACAATATTATTAGGTCAGTTCTCCTGTGAAAAAATGCCTAATATGATTTAATAAAAAACTGACCCCTATTCATTCCAATAAAAATGCACGTCACTGTCGAAAATGATGTTTCTCTTTGTTGAACTGGTCATATTAATGATAATTCATACCGATACAAATTTGGTGAAGATCGCACGACTGATAGCTGAGATATAGAGGGGTGCCGTTTGAAATGAGACGTATGTATTAAATATTTACTGACATGAAAGAATGTGATTATACTCTTCAAAAGATTATTGTTAGTGAGTAGGTACCTACTTAATTATTATTATTCTTCCGAAGATTTGATGCAATATATCAGTATTTTTTGTTAAGGCAAGTTTTTTTAGTTATATCACTTATTATCACCAAATCATTGTAATATTGTCACCTATTGTATTTGTTTCTTTTAGTTACTGAGTTGTTAGGTACCTAGTACCTACCCATTCACTGAAATTTGTTATTAAAATTTTATGTTGTACATAAATAAGTATATTAAGGAAAAAACTGGTGTTTTATAATATCTACCATTAAGATGGTAGGTATCTAGAATAAGATCGAACCTATTTTCGTTAATTTTCATCATCCTAGTAACACTTTTTCGAATGTGCCAATTTCATTGTAGGAATATTTATCATTAGCTGAAAATAAAACTCATTCAATATGCATTTTTTTTATTTCATCAATCCTCTTATTATGATATTGATTAGTAAGGAATTTTATTGATGAAATATATGAAGTAGGTAGGGGAAATTGGGGAAAAGTGCCTATGATGGCCCCCTGCCTATGATGGCCTATTGCAACTGTATTTTCCAAGCCTTTTCAGTCCGTTGCTACTAATTTCCAGAATCTTTAACATCATGGTGATTTTACGAAATAAAATCCAAATTGGTGCCCTAACAACACAGGGATGTCCTAGGTACGTCTCTTTTTTGTCCCGCGGTACAAGGACATGATTGAAGCATCCAGGGGATATGTCCCGCAGTGGTTGTTCAGTGGACATCACGCCCGGTACATCCCTAGGTTATCCTATTCGTGTCCCTGGAATATCTGATATCCATCCACATCAGAGTAATTGAATTTCATCAGAATATTTTTTTCCGAAAAATAATTGTAATGAAAATGAAGAATGTAGTCTCAGAACTTCTTAAGAAATAACCATTTTTCGCATACAGAAATCGTAAATGCATAGTGTCCCTCATTTTTAAACACCCAAGAATAAAAATAATTATACCCAAATCCTAACAAAGTTGTATAGTTGTTTATAAATCTGTTTAGTACATACATCTTCAGAAGGCATATTGAGTAAGGTGCGTGCCGTGCCTGATAAACTAAGGGTCCCGGGTTCAATTCCTACTCGACCTACATTTTATTCTTTTGTGGAAGGGATGTCCCTGGAATGTCCTTGGGACGTCCTAGGGATATCCTTTCTTCGTACTTGGTTCATCCCAAAGGACTTACCAGAAGAACATGTACTTTGTCCCGCCAAAGGATATCCCTGGGATGTCCTAGTATAGAATTAGGAACGTCCCTGGGAAGTCCCTAGGATGTAATTGTGTTGTTAGGGTGGGTGTTGATCTAAGAAAACTTCTTATTTTTTGTACTTCACTCTCATAGTGAAATGAATATGACAGCTTTAGTCAATGTGTAAGGTAGAAATGCACATTTTGAATCTGTTTTTGTCTTCAAATTGTTTCCTGTGTAAATAGAAAAAATGTAAGTTTATTGGGCGAGTGGACTATTGATGAATTATTGGCTTTTTCTATGTAAATAAAGAGTCTATGTGTTGTTCTAAATTGTTGAATTTCAGAGCTCATTTCAAACGTACCGCCATGGCCGCCATTTGGCGATACGTCGTAATAAATGGTGACGTCACTTTTTATGCTGTTTCGTTATTGGTCAGATAATCTTTCATTCCCACTCATGAAGCAAGGTTGCCAAGTCATCAATTATAATCAAGTTATCAAAAAGGTCGTGTTAGAGGCCTGTCGTTGAATAAAACATAATAGGAGGAACCCATGATGTTATAGTTAAATCTTGACTTTTTCGAGCAACCATCAGTTTATCAGGCTTCCTCTCCGGAAAGTTTAATTTATACGAGTACCAGGTGCAAGACACTACTGTATCTCTGCGGATCATCCTGATGATCCTGATAATGGTACAAGATTTCCAAATTATACTATTGTCATCGGTCCTTGATAAGTCTGCGAAGTTTCAATTCAAATCGATGGAAGTGGATCAAAATCATCTGTCTCTCTGAATGTAACTATTCATATACGAGTCATACATGGTGTAAGTCACTACCCTGTCTCTGGACATAAAAAAACATTGTAGTTATTCGAAGATAAACGAACTTTTTAAAATTTTTGGTGAAGGAACTTTTGAAATTTTTGGTGAAGGAACTCCTGACATTTTTGGTGAAGGAACTTTTGAATTTTTGGTGGTGGAAATCATTCACCATTTTATTCGAGAAAAAAAAATCGCTCATCCTGAATACCCTGGAGCGCACGAAAGGAAATTCCTATTATGTTCGTGGAACATCGCGCGTAACTAGGGAGGATAGGGATAAAAGGTAGCTGTTGGAATTTTTTTTTGAACTTGTGGAGGTTAATGGGTGAAAACTATTGAACTACTCATTTGGCGAGTGGACGTTTAATGAAATAATGACATTCAATTACTCGTTAGGGACCTGAATTAATTTTTGCATCGCTTTTTTCATGTAAATAATGAGTGAATGCGTTGTTTGAAATTGTTTAACTCCAGAGATCATTTCAAACGTACCGTCA